TCTCAGAGTTTCACTATCTATAGCGATGCTTCGAGGCAGGGCTTGGGATGTGTCCTAATGCAGGACGGACGGGTCGTTGCGTATGCTTCACGTCAGCTTAAGCCTCATGAGCAGAACTATCCTACGCACGACTTAGAGTTAGCCCCAGTCGTTCACGCCCTGAAGATCTGGCGTCATTATCTTTACGGCGGACGCTGCGAGATATTCACTGACCATAAGAGCCTACAATACATATTTACACAGAAGGAGCTTAATATGAGGCAGCGCCGTTGGCTCGAATTGGTCAAGGATTATGATTGTTCCATCCAGTACCATTCGGGGAAGGCGAACGTCGTCGCAGATGCCCTAAGCCGAAAGGTGACGGGAGACTTGACGTACGTCATCACGCAGCAGAGTCCGTTGATCCATGAGTGTGCCCGGATGCAACTTCAGGCGATTGATGTACTCCCCACAGCTGTCTCGGGGAGCACTAGTGCTATGCAGCTTCAGCCGACACTGAGGGAGAGGATCCGGCGAGAGCAGGCTTCTGACGAGTTTGTGCGTGTCATGGAGGCCAGGGTTCACGCCGGAAGAGTACAGGATTTTCAGCTAGGCGCCGATGGTGCCTTGGAGTTCAGAGGCAGGATCGTGGTCCCGAAGGCCGAGGCATTGCGGAAGGAGATTCTATCAGAGGCACATACCGCACCTTACTTGGCCCATCCCAGGAGCACGAAGATGTACCACGACCTGAAGGGGTCGTTTTGGTGGAGAGGCATGAAGAAGGACGTCGCAGAGTTCGTTAGGCGATGTCTTACCTGTCAGCAAGTCAAGGCCGAGCATCAGAGTCCAATTGGCCTCCTACAGCCACTGCCGATTCCTAGGTGGAAGTGGGAGGAAGTTACTATGGATTTCGTTACGGGATTACCGAGGTCGGCTGAACATCACGACGCTATCTGGGTCGTGGTCGACAGATTGACCAAGGTAGCAAATTTCTTACCCGTTTCGATGAAGATGTCTCTGGACAAGTTGGCTGAGATATATACCCGTGGGATCATCCGACTCCACGGAGTGCCCGTCACGATTGTATCAGACAGAGATCCCAGATTCGTCAGCCGATTCTGGCACAGCTTACATGAGGCGATGGGCACCAAGCTTGAGTTCAGTTCAGCCTACCATCCGGAGACGGACGGTCAGTCAGAGAGGACGATTCAGGCACTCGAGGATATGCTTCGCGCCTTGGTTGTTGACAGGGGTGTCAAGTGGGAGTCACTGTTGCCGTACGCAGAGTTCGCGTATAACAACAGTTATCATTCCTCTATTCAGATGGCTCCTTACGAGGCACTTTACGGTCACAAGTGTCGTTCCCCGCTTTATTGGGACGACGTTGGAGAGCGACGAGTACTCGGTCCTAGGATGATCGAGGAGACAGCAGAGCAGGTCGAGTTGATCAGGCAGAGACTCAAGACAGCCCAGAGTCGACAGAAATCTTCCGCCGATCATCATCGACGAGACATCCAGTTTGAGGTTGGCGAGCACGCCTTTCTCAGAGTTCGCCCGGTTCGCGGAGTAGTGCGATTCGGCAAGAGAGGGAAGCTGCACCCTCGTTTCATTGGTCCGTTCGAGGTCTCGAGCGAGTAGGCGAGGTCGCGTATCGTCTAGCCCTACCTCCCGAGTTATCAG